GCAGGCAGTAGATGCTTAAGAAGTATTTGTTGAACTGAACTAAAAATGAATGAATGTGGCTTCACACTGTCTTGATATGTTTGATGCTATAGTATATGAAGTTATACTCAAATAATTCAAGGAAGGAGGCCCTATGGTGACTACTATTATGTCAGGTTATCTTGTGGTAAAACACAATGATGTTTAAATTGTTCGTTTCTGACCTGTGTTGATCTGTTACTATGTCCTCTTTTATCTCAATCTCCCCCTTTTTAAAAAAAATTAATTTCTTTTTTCTTTTTTTTTTAATTAAAGGAAAACTAAATTTAAAAATAGTGGGATAGGGGCTGGGGATTTAGCTCAGCGGCATAAGCACCTGCCTTGCAAAGAGGCAGTCGTGAGTTCGATCCCTGGTACTGATAAAAACAAAAAAGACAAAAAAAAAAAAAAATAGTGGGATATATTATAGTAACTTTTTGTTTTCCTATTATCCTGATTTGAACCCCAGTATTGCTCTCCCCATCTTGTTCTGACTGATTTTACTATATTCCGTTTTGTTTGATAGTATCAAGTTTGAGGGTATAGGCAACCACTTTGAAGGCAGTAAGATTTACTATGATGCCCATTATGGTTTGACTATTATCTTTTTTTGAAGTTCTGTAAGGTCTCCAATGTAGGTTTTATTGGTTTTGTTCGGCACTGTTTTGTTCAATTCTATTATACCTGATGATATAGGCAACTCTTTTTAAGATAGCAAGAGGCATAGTGGTAACCATTTTTGATCACTGGTATTCTTTTTTTTGCATCATGTACTATGCCCATCCTTCTGTTCTAACTGACTCTTTGCTTTATCACATTTATTTTTTTTTTTGTTCTTCTTTTTTTTCTTCAGAAAAAAAGTAATAAGAACTGTGGGAGTAATAAAACCCAAAAAGTGTAATTGTTATTGTGAAAAAGTGAGGAAAAGAAAGTGGTCTAAAGGATATAACTGCATGTATGTTTAAGTGTGTAAGATAGATAACCATATTGCCGAGTTTTTGTTGGATCACTGAACAGAACTGTCTGCATTCTCACTGTATGAATGTCCACTTTGTATGCTTTAATTTTGTAATTTGGACAACTGTTTCTAAGATGACAATATGTAATCTATTAACTAATGATTTCTTATTGTATATTTTTTTCTTGAAATTCTGTATTACTTGTACCCTTTTACTGCTTTGGTTTTTTTTCTCTTTAAATAAAAAATAAATAAATAAAAATGAATGAATGAACTAAACATGTGTTCATAGAGCAAAATGTTTGTGGAGAGAAAATGAATGTGGTACTAATAGATTGGATCATATCTGCATTATTGTACTTGGTTCTAGAAACTACATTGCCACAAGGACCAGCAGTGTAGACCGGAAATTGAAGAAGTAGGCATGGTTAAGGAAACTTAAGATGCAGAGGCTTTTAGTTTGTAGAGACAAGAATTCCTGGCCAGGGATTTGGTTCAGTGGCATAAGCTCCTGCCTGGCAAGTGCAAGGTTATCAGTTCAATCTCTGGTACCACAAAAAAAAAAAAAAAAAGAATTCTTGGAATATTTTACTATCTTAAGTGATATTGAGAGGAGAGAGGACAGATTAGCTCTGGAACCCAGATTCACAGGTATTAGTTTGATAAACACAGATTTCTATTGCAGAAAAAAAAAAAAGGCCTTTTGAGAAAGTTCATAGCACAAGAAGGAGCCGTGTTAGAAGTGGAAGAAAAGATATGGTGGATAGCCACTTGTCAAGAGCATTGAGGAAGCTGGGCACGGTGGCGCACACCTGTAATCCTAGCACTAGGGAGGCTGAGGCAGGAGAATTGTAGCAAGTTTGAGACCAGGCTGGGCTATAAAGTGAGCTCAAGGCCAGCCTGAACTGCATAGAGAGACCCTGTCTCAAAAAAAGCACAGCAATGAAGGAGGGATCCTGGAAACAGGCTGGATGGATCCTAAGTGGATTTTGGGCTGCAGTTTGGGCACTTAGTCTCTAAAAGATTCACCATCACTGATATATAGGGACAAGACTGAAGCAATTTTCAGCCAATAATTCCAGAACTTAGTTACCTTGCTACCCCAACAGAAGAAGAGAACATTCCCAAAATGAAGCCTACAAATTAAGTGGTGGAAAGACTAGCTGGGTCTTTTAGGTCTGAAAGTGTCCCAGGCATAATTACCACTAGGTCCCTGGATCTGGAATCTACATGGCATTCAAAACATGGACTCTCAAACACCTTAACTATGGAAAATGATTTATACTCCAGGGGAAGACAGCCAGCATTAACATACCATAATCTAAGATGGCCCTAGATTTCATTTCTGAAACTCTACCACTTCCTTTAAACCTCAGGTGCCTCATTTCTAACAAATACCCCCCTTTCTCTCCCCCTTCCACTCCTTCTTTCCTCCTCCCTCTCCCTCTCTCTTTCTCCCTCTTTCTCTCTGTCTCTGTCTCTGTTTCTTTCTTTCTCTTTTATGCAGTACTGAAGATTAAACCGAGGGCTTCTGTAATGAGCAATATTGTTAATTATTTTATTACTATTTTTGTTTTAGTGAAACAAGGTCTTGCTAAGTTATGCGGGCTGGGATCCTCCTGCTTAAGTCTTCCAGAATGCTAGAAATATCGGTGTGTGCTGCTGTGCCCAGTTAAGAGTTTCATTTTTAAAATGGGGAAGGGTACATTTGAAACCTAAATGACACAATCTAATAATTACTAAAACTCAGCATTAAACACATGGTCATTGACTATACTATCCTGTTTTATGTTTGAAAAATCTACATAGTAAAAACTAGGGGGAAAAAAAGATGGGGAGTTTAAATACTGCCTACCTCATGTAATAATTGCAGGGCTTAAGGAAATGATTACCATCATCATTATAAGGAATTTTCATGAATCCCAATTATGATCAGAACTGTTTCTCTGTCTTATTTAGTCACCCAGCAGCCCTACAAAATGTACAGTAATCATCTCCATTTGGCAGATGAGGAGACCAAACAAAGCCCAGTTAATTTAGCTGGCACATGGCTGAAATGTGATCTGAAACCAGAGTCACTTAACTCCACCAGCATAGCTGCCTTTTATTGCAAGAGCTCATTGTGGCCTGCTTGGTTTATATCTACACGATTATGATATCATTTACTCATCGAAGTCAGTGGTTCTCCAGATCTTTTACTCAACAGCAGAACTCTTTTGAATGCAACCTGACTCAGAACTCCAGTAAGTCAAACTGGCAAAAACTGAACAGCTCTGGCTGAAGTGGGGACTGGAACCCAGCAACCAGCCCTCTTGATTCCAGCGTGGTTGCTGAAGTGCCCTGGGGTCTATGGGGCAGGGTGGGAGGAGTCCAGATCAAAGCCGACAATAGCAACCCCCACCTCTACCCCAAATTCCATGAATCACATATTAAGCAGCCTCGTTTGTATAATGCATCTTTCATTTTCTTGTCTTCCCTCACACTTGATCCTCATTATCAACTCAGGTGGACAAGGCAGGGCACATCATCTTCAATTTGCAGATGAAGAAATCAAGGCCAAATGGAGCTAAACAACTGGCCGAAGTTATGCCAGTTCAATTTTCAGCCAAGTACAGACTGGAAGTAGAGTCTGTCTCTATTAATTCAGTGTGACCTGGCAGAGAGGGTGCCATCTACTGGAAATTGCTACTGACCCTTGGTCCAAAAAGTGGACAATCAGCTCTCTGGCTGTGGAGAACTGAGCAATGAGCCGATCCCCACCCCCTTCCCAAGGCCCTGTCCCAGATCAAATGGCAATGGGAGGAGGAGAAGAGCTTAGTGCCTCCAAAAGGCCTTACAGTAGGAGTTTGGCTGTAGTCAAACTATTCCCATTTGAGCCATGTCATGCTGAGCACAGGGCAGGGCAGGCAAGAACAGCCAAAGTGCCTTCCATCTTCAACAGCAGCAAGCAAAGAAACTCACATAAGGATAGCAATAGTACAGACCTGGGTATCAGCTACCCTTTGCTTTTCCTCTGAACTCTTGCTAATCCTAAAACTAGAAGCAGCTGATAAATGCCTAGATGGTTTCCCCACTCCTGGAGCAGCTCTGAACTGAGCTGGAGCATGTGTTGGCACAAACACTTAATTATCACTTAGTCTTTAATTAGCACTTAATTATTAACACTTAATACATCTGTAAAATGGGGACACTAATACCTGCTTCACAGAGACTCTAGGAGGATTAATTAATGTTTGTAGCCCACTTTGAAGATAGGAAGCGTTGAAGAAGTGCTTGACAGTGGCATTAATAACGGCTGCTGATTTATTTTCTTTTCCTAATGAGGTCCCTTTTCCCCCTCTCTTGATTCCTTGAAAATATCTATCCCCAAAATTATCTGCTCAACTTTGCCCTGGTGGAAAAACACTTAGCTCTGTGTTTCCCAGATACAGGATTTCCCAACCAGGGAACAGGCTATTTACAGCCATCTTCCTGCACTTTAATTTTCTATTATGTCCTCTGAATATGTCAATGCCTTCTCAGTAAATATTTTGATGTGCGCTCTTGCAGTAGCTTCTGTGGAGGCTGAATGGGACAGCTGCTCCCTGTATTAGGGAATTCCAGATGTGGCTTAAAACTGCCAGACTAGTAGTCTGTGTGAATGCCTAGCCTTCACGTGGGAGAGAGGCAGGAGCTCCCAGTTGCCTCTGGGAACAGTCATGAGCTATTTAACCTCCAGCCTGGGCTAGGGTGCTTTCCTAAGACCCTTACCCAAATCTGAGTTGCCTGTGTCTTTACAATGAGCAATGTCACCTTAGTACTGGTGAAGAGGCAGCCTAGAATACAATCTTGGTCGGTCCCTTACCCCTGGAAACTTCAGAACCTTGACCTTGTGTAAAGACTGGATTTGGGTTTATGGGAGAAGAGGAAAAGAATATAGCATTGAGGATTTAAGCAGACCGAATGCTGAGTCAGATCATTTTCCCCCCAAGGTCAGACTTCACCTCCCTTCTCCCTTGCTGCCAACCAAACACAGGGTACTCACTCTTCTTGGAAGTTGAGACCATAGTCTCTTGGAGTCCCAGCTATGGGGGCAGAGAGCTGCTCCACGGAGGTCCTGGGCTGCAGGGCCTCTGGCAGGTCTTGAACTTTTTTCCAGATTTCATGGCAAGTCTTGTCTAGGCTGTCTTGTGGGGTGTCCTGATGAATCCAGACAAATCTAGGAAATGGGCCCAGGGCGGAGGGACGCTTGGCCACCAGGGCCGAGGATGTAGGGAGCCCATTCCCACTGGCCATCCTTCTTTCTTTCTGGAAGCCCTTTTGTCTCAGATCTTGAGGAAAGAGGGGCCACCCACCGCTGCTTTGCATTCACCAGAAAGGGTACTGAGGACCTGCTTGGCGGTGGGCTGTTCAGTCTGGCCGTCTCCTGCCAGGTGGCCACCTTCAGAGGGCTTCGCTTTGTGTGGGAGTGGAGCGTGGGGGCACCGCCTTCTTTAGGGGAGGGGGACTTGTTTTGATTTGTTTTTATTTGCTCTTTCCTGCCTCTTGCCCCCTGCCCCCTTAAAAGAAAATATTTAAAGGTCAACAAAACCCAGTAGCTTAGAAACCATGGAATCCCCTGGAGCTCAGGACTCAGGTGCCTGGACAGGCAGAATGACATCTGGGAGGCTAGAAGGAAGGACTGGTTCTCCCCACAGTCCCTGGCACTCCCCTTTTCGGGGCCTGGGGTTCAGCCCATTTTCAGTCAAGCCTTTGAGATGCAGACTGCAAGGTGGCGCAGGGCTGGGCTCAGCGGGGTTAGGAACCCCTCATAAGGTTCTGACTGGGTCCTTTCCAAGGAGCACGAGCACGCCCAGGACCAACGGCCCCCTCCCACCCCCAGAGTCCCTGCTTTCGATCTCCCCTCTACCAGCTCCTGTCTCCCCCTTCCACCGCCGCTCTGCACTCAGGTAAGCTGTCTCCAATGAGCCGACGGGCTCGCAGCGACCTAGCCTAGCCTCGGACCCCAGCAGAAGCCAGCCGCTGCCCTGGCCGGTGTGTGATCCTCAGAGGGAAGGAACCCAGTCCTTAAAAGGGCGCAGTCTCCGCAGGGCGGGCCTGGCGCTCCCGAGGGCTTTAACCAATTTCCGTGCCAAGTAACTCCCAGCCCCTTGCCGTCCAGCGCTGGAATTCTTTCCGTGGGTTCAACCTCAACGGCTCAGGAGCGCGGGCCGCTGGGGTTCGAGCCCAAGGCCCGCAGATGGGGGGTGGTGGGCAACGGGAGCCCAAGGCGCTTTCCCCCCAGAAGTCAAAGGCAGGCAGCCCCGGAGCAAAGCTCCAAGAGTGCAGGATGGGGTTGCCCTTTTATCAGTCCCTTTGACCCCTAAGGTCCACTCTGCCCTGCTGGTTTTCTATCAAGCCCTGGGTTCATATTCAATCCTGATCAATCTCACTGAAATAAATATCACTTTTCATAATCCTCTCAACAATGGAAGAAACTGAGTCTCAAAGTTATGAAAGATTGTCCAAGGCCCACTAAGAAGAGGAAAGCTGGGATTCAAGCTCCAAGACTTTAGGCCTGATGCTGTGCTCCTAGCCACCAGACTCACAGGATGGGTGGGCTCCAGTGGGTCCTAGGATTGAGGGACAGGAAGGTGCCTCTGTGAAAAAGGCTCCAGTTAGCTATTAGCTGAGCAAGAGACTCCTCCTCTCAGGGAGGCAGCTCTCTTCAGCTGAGAGCTGGTACAGTCCCTCTGTGTGGTGTTGTCTGTGGATATTCCTTCGGTGATTCTCTGGCACAGATCAGAGGAGGCTGAGAAAGAAGGGCGGAGGTGGGGCTGCCTTGATTCTGACACTGTCACTCCCAGTCCTGTGACCCTGAAACATTCTTCCTCCATTCTCCCAATGTCTATTGACCCCTTCCTCTGTACTAGGTGAGTTACTGGGCACAGGAGAAGCGAGGGGGGAGCTATGGTGGCAGTTTCTGCTCTCCTGGGGCCCATATTCTGTTGGAGGGAGACAGTTCACCAATAAAGTGAGTGAAAAAGCAGTGATTACAAATGAAACCTATGCTAAAGACTATAGCTTACCGTCTCTGCCTCATGTCTGCTACTCTACTTTACTGCTATAATTTGTCCACCTTACTCCCTCATTCCATTGTCTGCCCTGTTCATTGAGGCCTCTCTGCCACTGTTGCTGGAATCCTGGTATCCCTTCCTCTCTTTTTCTGGAATATCCTTCAGCACTCTCTGTAGGGTTGGAGGCATAACCGCGGTCTTATGAATTGGATTCAAATAAGATCAGTCATAGTAAGACAATGTAAGTAATACAGGATTTCAGTTTAAGTTAATAGGAAATTAAGGATAGTTACTATGGTATAACCTGCTATTTTGGGGTCAGATGTCTGTGCCTGCGAATCTGATATGAGTGGACAGACAGAACAAATTAAATTCAAACTAAACAGGGCGATAAGACTACTGTGTCTTTTAAATCCTGATTATGATTTGTTTTTCTCTATAATACAGAGAGGATAGATATACATGTAGAAATTCACACATGAGAAGATTTTTTAGAAAAACTATTTACAGGAACAGATTATATAATGCAAGATGTAATGAACATCTACTCTGAAGAAGAGACACTAAGAAACCCAATGCTAATTTTGTAGCATTATGATATAAAATCTAGCAATACTATTATTCACTGATCAGAGTGATATTAGTCTAGTCTCTTAAGTTCAATTTCAGCATATGTAAAGATAAGGACAGCTACTACGGAGAGAATGAGAGACACTATGGTAGTTATTATTGTCTTCCCTCCCCAATGTCAGATCTTGAAGACCTAAAAAGCCTTCATCATCCTGTAATGATTTGATTAGTTCTATAACATGCAGTATGTATTTAATGTGCATGAAGATGCGGACAACTATTTGGAAGAAACTAGAGACAATTAGATAAACAGTGAAGATCTCCAGTGGACTTGCTTTGAAATCTGTATTTCTTTAAATTGTTTTTTTTTTAAACTGTTTTGATATGTTTAATCTTACCCTCTTTAAGATATAAACAAGTGTGTAGGACTGATAACCATATTACTAAGTTTTTGTTAGATCATTGAGCAGAGCTGTTGACAGTGTCACTATTTGAATATCATTTTACATACTTTAATTTTGTAACCTGAACAGCTATTTCTAAGATGACAATATGTAACTTATCAACTGGCAATTTCTTACCATTTATTTTTCTATAATTCTGTATTATTTCTACCCTTTTTTTTATCTCCATGTATTTTTTTTGTTTGTTTGTTTGTTTCTCTTTAAATTAAAAAAACAAATGAAACCAAGGCTCTCTGAAAAGGAACTGATAAAGTAAGGTGGCAGGGAGGAGGGAGGGATCCAACATTAGTGGTAGTCTACCCATGGATCTTTGAAGAGTCAGTGTTTGGGATGAAATGGGAAGATGGAAGGAAAGCCTTTTCTAAAGAATGGTTTTAAGTTTTTTACACAGTTTGCCTTTTTGGCACATAGTAGGCATGCAAAAAATATATGTAGTGAAGTAATGGTATACAATATGTAAAGTCCAGACATACAGTAGGTGTCCAATATAACAACCATGCTCTTTACAGAGGGGCTCAATTCCTGGAAATGTTGACTCTGTTTTGAAATCCGAGTTCCATTCCCCTTTGATTTTCATTATAAATTTGAAGATGTGCTCCTTTGGGGAAAATTCTGAGGACCTAGACTGAATAAAATTATAGTTAAGAATGTAGAAAACCTTTTAAGATAGTGTATTTAAAGGAAAAGTGATCATTTCTGATGAAATATTAATAGTTCTGAAAATGTCACTCAGTGTTTGTGCTGCTTGGCATTTGGTTGGCTAACACCCATGCTTAGAGAGGAGCACCGAAGACCCTGACTGCCCAGGCCACAGGATTCTAGAAATCAGCCAGCTCACTCCTCCCACCTTCCTGCCTTAGCTGGAAACCAGGCAGTTGGGGCAAAGTTGGAAAATATCACAAAAATAAAATAGGGATTTGGGGGGGGGGTTTCACAGAGAAATGAGGCGCCTAGCAGATTGGTTTTTTGTCTTTTTCATTTTTACCAGTACTGGGGATCGAACTCACGACCGCCTGCTTGCAAGGCAGGTGCTTATGCCACTGAGCTAAGTCCCCAGCCCTCCTAGCAGATTTTGCAAAAACCTCGTGCTTTGTACTTACAATCTGTATAAAGCTACATGGGATATGGTTGCCACTATAACCATATGAGATTATTTTAATTGTATTTTAATGTAAATTAACAGCTTAACTTCTCCCTTGCATTCACTACATTTCAAGTGCTTCATAACTATATGTGCCTAGTGACTGTCATACTGAACAGTGCATGGAATCAGACTACCTCGGCTCAGATGTAAAGTTCATCAAATTCTGAGTTTTCTGGTATTGTAGATTGAGCCACATTACCCTGTGGCTTGGTGTATTAGTCTGCTGTAACTACCACAACAAAGTACCACAGACTACCAGAGTTAACACATAGAAATTTATATCCTCACAGTTCTGGAGGCTAGAAATTTAAGGGCAAAGTGTCACTGGGGTTGGTTTCCTTCTGAGGTATGGTGTGTAGATGAGTCTGTCTGTCTTCTCCCTGTGTCTTCACATGGTTTTCCTATCCTGTTCTCTTCTTAAAAGGAAACCAGTTATATGGGGTTGGGGGCCTACCCTGATGGTTTCATTTTATCTTATCTCCTCTTTGAAGGCCTTATCAGTAAATAAGCCACATTCCGAAGGACTAAGCATCCAGATGTTAACATGCAAATATTAGGAGGATATAATTCAACCCAAAACACTTGGTTTCCTCATCTGTAGAACAAGATGATGATAAAGAACACTTGGTTTGTACAATTGTGGTAGATACTCTATTACTAAGTAATTGCTTCACACATAGTGATTGCTAGAACAACACCTGGCACTGAAGAGGCATATTAAAGTGCTATGCATTGGCCTGCTTGTTGATTATACTGAAATGTATGCCTTTGGAGTTGCTGAACAACAGCTTCTGTGCTGTGTGGAAGGAGGAAGAATTTTAGCTGTATGTACTGGGGAAATTATTCTGTGATAAACTCAAATCATCATCACAATAAGCCTTTCTGGACTCCGTTTTTGATCACCTATCATGGGCCACAACTGTGCAAGAAAAAAGGATTTGAGGTGAAAAAGTCCTCAACCCTAGACAGAGTCACAGCCTAGTGCAGGAGGCAAAGTGTTCCACTGAGCCCCTGGAGCAGATGTGGTGTAAACTGAGCTTACCTAGCATATTCCTCTAGCACAGGTATGTGTGAGCCCAGCGCTGTTGCAGATGCTGAAGATACAGTAGAAGACAGGCTGAATTCCTGTCGCTTTTAGAGCTCAAAGTAAGGCATTTAATGGTCACAGACACTATTTCACTTTTACAAATTATTCTTAGCTTGGAAACATTCTTTAATTTCCCCTTACTAGCGTTGTTACCCTGGGATGATTGTTTAACCTCTTTGTGCTTGGGTAGCTTTTCTACAAAAGAGATCATAAAATACTGACCTTGGAGGGTTGTTTTGTGACAATTGAGGTAGCACATGTAAAGAATTTAAAAGTTTGGCTGGCACATCTTACCTCTCCAGTGAATGCTAACTATCATGATATAGGATTCTGGGATTCTTGCTTTCCAATCGGGAGCCAGCAAAACTTCACGGGGAGGCAATGTTTCCTTCCTATTCTCCAGTCGAAGCCTTTATTCACTTTCTTCTTCCATCTCTTTACAAACATGGCCATGTTGAAAAACTCAGAAAAGTGGGCTGGCATAGGCTCTTTTATAATCTTGATAGGCCCCAACTATTTATTCTGCAGGCTCTATTCTTCACCAAACGCATTTTATCACCCACCCCAATCTCTGACACTATAACTTTTCAGAAATAAAAAACATTGTGAGAACTTTTGCCATTTTCCTTTTGAAAGTTTTTGGCATGAGCAATTTATTTAATTTATAATAGGCTATGATTTCTCACCACTCTTGGGGTGCCTACTTGGAGAATCTTGCACGGTGAGAAAAACTCCAACCTACAAATCATTATGAAACGTAATGCAAATTTTATGAATACTGTATTCAAAAGTTAATGAAGCTGACATAATGCTACACTTTGCATTTAATTAAACAGTTACTAATTTCAATGTTGTGCTTTTCTTCTTTGTATTATGGGACTAATAATACAGATTTCAGGGCTCAAATTTTTCTGTAGGCCCCTAAAAACCATAGAGACTCCCACTGCCTATTAGTTTTGCCAGTGGGCAAAACTGCCGAGACAGGGCACATGTACAGGGAGGTCCCAGGCAAATTCCTTGAGAAGCCAACCACCAGAGCTGGAGGAAAAGGAAGTTGCAGCCATGCCACCAGACTGGCTTTCCTCAGGTGTTGTCTGAGCATGGAACAGGACTGCAGAGCAACTGGCTGAAATAGCTTTTGAAGACTCTGCAATGGAACTTGCTGTGCTCTGGAAGAAAAGCTGTGACTTAGTGGGTTTTCTCCCCTGGCAATATCATCAGGAATCTCAATCCTTCCCAGCAAGGGGCCAGCTATCCCTTGTTCTTGCCTCTTTCCTTGCTCACCTGTAAGGAGGTAGTTAAGATCTTAGACAGTGGTAACTGACACACTTGAATTTGAATTCTCGCTCTGTTGCTTGCTAATAGGTACCTCTGGGGCTGGGGATATGGCTTAGCAGCACAGCATCTGCCTGGCAAGCACGAGGTCCTGAATTCGATGCTGGTACAAAAAAACAGGTAATTCTGTACATGCTTCATTTCTCTGGCATTTCTTCATCAGCAAAATGATAAAACAATGCACAGACTTGTGGTATAGGGGAAGTTCAAACAGAAAAAAATGCCTGCAAAGTTCTCAGCCCAGTGCCCACCACACAGTGTGCCCTCCATAAAAGAAACTGATTGTTATTTTTATGTTAGTTTATTATTAATAACCTCACAATATAAAACAGGAGCTTGAAAAATCTCCATTTTCGGTTGGAAAGAGGGAAGTCTCTAGTTTACAGATGGAAAGAAGGTATAGAAAGGATGTTTCAACAAAGTAGCAACAAAGTCACAATTCACTCAGGCTGTTGCTTTCTGTTTTCATCTTTTCTCCCAACCCAATGGTGAGCACCCCAAGACTCCTGGGGAGCCGCTGTATAGGATGTTTCTCAATTAGAAGTTTTCTCGCTTTCTTTAATTCCACTCTGGATCACTGGTCATCAATACACATTTATTTAAAACCTCTACCAGCCTACTGCTGAGTGAGTTTGAGGCAGTTTATAGCTTAAAAAGTATGAAATTTGGCATCAAAGAATACAGCAAGAACTGAGTCATCCAAAGAAGGCAAAAAGAGTTGCTCCTTTCAGGAAACTGAATTGGTCGGACTGTATGAAGGTAATAAGGTAATAAAATTGTGTATCCCTATTTGTCAGCTAAAGTAAAAATGGAAACATGTTGGGTGGCAGAGTTTTTATTTTCTGACAGCAGAAAATACACATCTTCATCCACAGAGACAAAATGTTTCCTGGAAATAACCCCAAGCATGAATTTATCATGAGTCCTTGTATAAAGGACACTGAGTGACATAGTGGATAATATATTCAATTCTGTTTTCATAAAAGACAGAAATGCCATTAAGTTGGTCAGTTTCTCACATCAGGGTTCTCTGAAGACAGAGAACATAATATTATATCATAACTCAGTGAAGGCATTTCTTTAGGGAACTGAGACAATGAAGTCTAGCAGAGATAACTTTGATTCCTTTCTACAAACATTACTGAGCACTTACTCAAGCATTCTTCCACACATGCATCCATCTATCTGCCCATCCATCCATCCATCCATCCATCCATCCATCCATGCATCTATTCACTCACCCACTCATCTGCCGATCACCCATCCACTGGTCATCTATGCAAGGTTCACAGGATAACTGTCATGTACCAGGCACTGTTTGGGCGGTGACAAAGATTGCTTGTAAGGACCGACACCTGAATTTTGAGTTGTTGTTTTTTTTTTTTTTTTTTTTTTTTAATTTTAAAGAAGTGAAGAAAAGAGAAACAAGAAAGAAAGATTAAACAGAACAATGAAACCACATTTTGAAACAGGTTAGTTTGAATCATTATAATTGTTGATTCAGTATGTATTATCTTTGGAGCTGTTATTCACTGGATTTTGAATTTTGAAGGGCAAATGGTAGAAGGTCAGGGATAGGAGAAGGATAAGGAGAAAGAAGAGGAACAGGGAGAGGAGGAGGAAAAAGAGAGGCGGGGCACTCCAGGCAGTGGAGTCAGCACACACAAGACTCCCAAGGGAAGGGTGGAGAAAAGCATGCCTTCTTGCAGGAGTATAAATGGCTGCAATATGAGGGTTCAGGAAGGAGGAAACCTGAGGTCGGAGGGGCAGGCAGGTCAGATCATGGATCCTTTTGCAGGGAGGATCTAGCAGGAGCTTGGGTTTTTCTTTGTAGGTCATAGGGTAAGTCCAGGAAAGGCAGGGAAGCTGTAAAGCCAGGTTAGAGTTTTAAAAAGGTAACTGGAGGCAGAAAGAAAGACACTGGACTGGGTAAGAGCGGAGGTGACCTGTTACTTAGCTGCCATAAGTAACCTGAAAGACAGATAATGGAGGTCTTGGCTAGGATTTTGGAAGTGACACAAAAGCAGAATTTAGAAGGCTCTCCGTTGCCCTGATGTGGGGACTGAGAGGAGCGTCCAGTGTGACTCCCAGGTTTTTGGCTCAGGAACCTGGGCAGATGTGGAAACTGATTCCTGAGCTAGAGAACTGAACACAGATTGGAAATAGGCAAGTTCACTTCTGAGCAGGCTGAAGGTCAGGGGCTAGGTGGTCAATGAAGACGAGAGAATACTAAGCACAGGACAGGCAGTGGGGACCTTAAGTTTTTCACCATAAGTAGCTGCAGGTACACTATGATGGAGGTCTATTAAGAAAACTGACAATTACTGAGCCAGGAGAATCTCAGAACAATGTTTGGTTCCCTCTTGAGCTCTACCCTGGGATCCTAGGTTTCTGGTTTACTGCAGATTCTTCACACTCTGTCCAGCTCCCATCACTGACTGTGATTTTTTTCCAAAAAGTTTTACTTCTCACCTCCTCCTTAGGCTAAACTAGGAGCTCCTTTTATTGTTTACAACACACCTGTATGACTCTGAGTATAATCAATCATGCTTTGTTGTTTAAATTTACTCAATAACTATCAGACCCGTGAGGATAGGGACTATGGGAATGTGTTATTCTCTGTTTTTGTTTCTCAGCATCTAGCCCAGAGCCTGGCATAGAGATTGACGCTTGTGGTATGAACAAATAAATCAATGAGTGAAGAGAAGTAAACGACACAGGATACCAGAGGAAGAATGAGGAAGAATATAAAAGGGTATTACTAGCTGTTTCAACAAACCCCAGTATTTCAATAGCTTAGCATTGTTGAAGGACATTTTTCATATAATAGCTTAATGCAGGTGTTGCTGGCTTTCCTTCCTATAGTTACTTGGAGATGCAGGTTTGGTTTTGTGGCTCTGCCATCATCCAGGATTCTAGTGCTCTGTATCCAATAAACAGAAGAGTAACCCTTGGAGAGTGTTATAGGGTAAGCCTTGAACTTACATTCTATTGGCTAGAACCTTGTATACTGAGTACACGCAACTGCAAGTATAGCTGGGAGTTGTAGTCCTTACTAAACATGCACATCTTAAAGGCAGCCTAACATGATTCTCATTTTGGGCCACATAATTCTTTGGAATAGTGTGAAGGTCCTCCCTATGTATTTTAGGATGTTTACTAGCAACCCTGGTTTTACCTCCTAGATTTCAGTAGCACCTGTCAGTTGTGACAAAACTAAAAATGTCTGCAGACATTGCTAAATTTGTGCTGGAGGGAAAAATGGTCCTCAGCTGAGAACCATAGCTCTACACTGTGGAGGAGAAAGCAGGAATCTGTGATGTCCAACTGGCTGCCCACACTGAAAGAGTCACCAAACCAGGAAGGAACAAGGAGGAAAGGCTACCTGATGTAGGTAACAGTGGAGCTGAGTGGTGACCAGGAATTAGAAGAAGAGGGAATGGTGTTGCAGACAGATGAGACAGCATGAGCAAAGCTGGGAGGCATGAAGCACAGCTGACAGGCGGAACTTCCAGGAGAGATAATAGCTTGGAACAGCCCCTTTCCTATGGATTGTGCCCTGTGACATGCAGAGGAAATCACTGACCTCTGTGATGTCACTGCTGTGAGTTCTGCCCTTTTCCTTGTTTTGCATTTGGAAGATTTTTCTGTGATCCTGCATTTGGTAGCATTGGAGAGAGGCCACACTGGGGACTCCTGGCTTCTCCCTCCTGGTTGTGGAGGCCTATAAGCTCAGCATGGTTCTTTCTGGACTATGCCTTCATGAACCCCTTCTGTTACCCTTACTCAGGAGACAGATCACTCCCATCTCTACAAGAACAGTCCTTGGCATTTACTTGCTTCTGTCTGACCCCACTCAGCATTTAGAAGTCCCTGCCCCTAACTCAGATCCCGGGTTCTCCCTCTGAGGCCCTGCCTCACTCACTGGCTCTCCTCTGCAGTTGTGCTTATGTCTCAATCTCCATTTCTGCCCTCACATTGCTAGAGCATCCCACTGCTTTCTCTTTCTGGGCTTCAGCAGGCTCTTTGATTTTTCTTAAGTCAGAATGAAAATTTTAGGGTATTGAGTCCTTACTTGTATCAGGCTGAGTTCTCCAGAGCATCAGGCTTTGTTTTCTCTCCAAAATAAACTGATGATGTCTGGATATCAGGTTAATCTTAGCAAGTCACTCTACTGTAGTTGGGCTTTTTTGTTTGCAGGGTGATAGTATGAAGAGACCTTCAACCACGGCTGCCTGTTTCTCATCTGGAGAAAGAAAGAGGGAGGCAAGAGTCAGCTCTAGGGGCTGCTGGATTGAAAGCCAGGCCAGAAGGAAAGGGATGTGAGTGCCTCTTAGATTCCTTGTTCTCTACGGCCTGCAAGAGCTTCCATGGCCTCCATCCCTGCCTTCGCTCATATGACTCAGAATACAGTACTAAGGGGCTGGGGATTTAGCTCAGCGGCATAAGTGTCTGCCTTGCAAGTAGGCAGTCATGAGTTCGATCCCTGGTACCGATAAAAAGGAAAAATACAAAAAAAAAAAAAGAATACAGTACTGCAGTTCATTCCGTTGCAGTAGCTTCCCAATTAGTTGTGTTTTTTGTTTTGTTTTTTGTTGTGTTTTTCTGCCGCTTCCCTTCTTCTCCATTCTCCACAGAGTTGCTAGAGTCCATGCCAGTTTATGCCACTTGACTTTCATTGCCTAGAAATGAAAGTTCACTTTTTCTTTTTGCCTAGATTCGCCACCCTGTTGTAACATTCTTTTTTTTTTTTTTTTTTTTTATCGGTACTGGGTTGAACTCACAACCACCTGCTTGCAAGGCAGGTGCTTATGCCGCTGAGCTAAATCCCCAGCCCTGAAAGTTCACTTTTTAATACCAGAGCCATGTCCATCTTTCCACTGTCTGCTACTAAAGCAGTCATGCTATCCACAGGTTAAATAGACATATTTGACATTCATGCACCTGCTAGCTCTTATCCTCTATCTGGAAAATTCTCCCCTCCTGTTATGGGATAAAAGTGCCCCTCTTGTATCTTGAAGTTCTAACCCCCAGGCACTTTAAACATGACTTTATTTGGAGATAAGATCTTTAAAGAGATAAAGAGTTAAAATTAGATTAGGGTAGAATCCTAACCCAAGATGACTGGTAACCTCATATGAAGAAGAAATTAGGACACAGACATGCATAGAAGGAAGATCAAGGGAAAAATACATGGGAAAGATAGCCATCTGACAAGCCAAGGAAAAAAGGCCAGTCTTACAGGCTCCTTGATCTTGAACTTCTAGCTTATGGAAATGAGAGGAAGTAAATTTGTGTCCTTCAGGTACATGACCTGCGGTACTTTGCTGTGATACCCCTTAAAAAACCATGTGTCTTTTATTTCCCACTGCCAGAGAGTTAAATCCAGATTTTTTATCATTTCTTAAAGACCCTGGATGAAATCTGTCCCCACTTCCACCCCCATCTCCTGGGGATTTCCTCTTGTTCATCTGAATCCTGCCCCACTCTCCTTCCCGTAGTCTCTTTCCCAGTTTAAGGTCTTACCTGTTTCCAACTCTTTGCATAGCTACCTTACTTTGTTTATTGAACTAGGGATTGAACTCAGAATCTTTGTACTGAGCTACACTTCTAACCTTCTAAAATTTTTTTTTGAGACAGAGTCTCACTAAGTTGCCCCAGTGGGACTTGAACTTGCACTCCTCTTACTTCAGCTTCCCAGAGTGCTTGGGATGACAGTTGTGCATCACCATGCCTGGCTTCTTGCTTAATTTTAGATCCCATCTTCAAGGTTACCACCTCAAAGATTCTTCCCAGACCCTCTGTTTAAACTGGACCAATAATCTTTTCATTGCACTGTGCACTTTTTCTTTCTGTATCCTTAATTAGGAACTTTATGCATATTTATCTGTTTATTGCTTGCCTTCATAAAGTTCTGGACTGTGGTGTGTATTTCTTATTGAGCACAGTCACAGGCTATGTAATGATGCTTAATAAATATTTGTAGAATAAATGAAACTTCACCTGGTTAAAGTCTTTACCCAGGTATCAGGGTTCAGCCAAAATCTTACTTCCTTCCATAAATTAGCCTTCTGATATTCTAAGTCTCAGAAAAGCTTACTGTCTTGATATGCCTCTATGTAATATGCATCTTCTCCAGTCATGGTGGTTATCGCTGTTTGCTGTATCAGCTGAGTGTTAGTTTCCACCTCCATCCAACCTCCTCCCAAAGGAAGACCTCACACTGTGCATCCCTGTGTGAGTCCAGCACAGCCTCCCTCCACCCAAAATGCAGGAAGGCAGGAGGTGCTCAGTTAATATGTGTGGACCCAAATAGTACAGAGACAACACCAATGGTGCAAGATGTTAGCTGGTCCTTTAAGAGTTAAAAGGGTGTCCCTCCCTTCTACAGCCCCCAGGAAGAAGGATGACAATGTTTTTCACCAGGGAGGGCTTTAGGGTAAATCTCATCTGTCATTTGTAAACGCAGAGCAAAGTTCTGGGGTGAGGAAATGTCCTTTATTGACTTGGAGCTCCAGAACTGCAAAACAGCCCAGCCCGTCTCTTCTGCCCAGCTGAGGGGCTGCAGAGAAGTCCAGGCATCACAGTCAGTTCCTTTCTCTGGAGGGCAGCTCAGCCCCCATGCCAGGAAGAAGGTCCAAGATTAGGAGCCAGGAGCACAGCTAACAATCCCCTAGACAGCCACCCTCTCACCGCAAGGTCTGTCCCTTCCCTCCTCTCCAGGCATGGTGGGAAGGCCTGGCCAGTCGCCTCCACTGAGCTCTCTTTCGGGAGCCCGCCTGGACAATGCGAAGCGAAAAGCCCCCTCCTCGCCGCCCCAGGGACATAAAGCAGGCCATTCACTGAGGAGTTCTGGCTGCTTTGGTTGGCTCTTGGCACCCAGAGAGGAGGGACAGGGAAAGCAAGTGTGTTGGGGGTGGGGATGGGCCGGCGATATGGAGGGGGCTAGCCCTCCCAGGACCACCGGGCCAGCTCCCCAGCTGTGGGATGAGCTCATGCAGGGAAACCGGAATAACTTGGGGTAGGGAGGAGGGGAGAGGAATGGCATTTAGCAGGCTGCAAAAATGTGGCTCTGGGGAGCAAATTTTATTTGTGAGGAATAGATAGGCATCCACTCTTGTGGTCCTGCACCCTTCTGTCCAATCCGGGTCTCCCGTTTGGATCTGTAAATCCGTAGCCCCTCTGCAAGGCCTTCCCTGGAAATTCCCAGGTTCACCGACCGTCAGCCAAGCTGGCTAGCCAACCCCTGCCCCTCTCCTCAGTAATCCAGAAAGCCAACCCCAACTCCTCTTTGCTCTTCCAGGGAAATTCTCAGGCCCCTTCGCTTGCCAGGCACTGCCCCTGAAGGCCACGCAGACGCCAGAGCTCGGGGGTGGCCGAATCTCGCGGCTCCCTGGTTCCCCGAACCCCAACTATAGCTTCTCTGGGGGCTTCTTGCAAAGGTGGGTGGAGACGCCCCTCAGCAGGTGCCTTTCTGCTACCTGCGTGCCAGGCTGGGGCCTCTTCCCTGCGCCTTGCCCCTCCCTATCCCCTCCAGCCTCCCTACACCTCGCTAAGCGTGTCTCTCCTCTCGAGCAGAGTTCGGCGTAGACAGCTAAGGAGCCATCGTGACTGGCGGAGGAGCCTAGGATAGACCAGACAGAGACGGCCGCGGAGTCGCTGTGGGGGATGGGGTGGAGACCTACGCTGAGCCCTTGGGGCCCGGAGGCAGAGGGTGTTCCAGAAAGGCGGGGAGCTGCTCACAGCCTACACTCGCCTGCTTTACGGATGTGCTGGAAGGGGGAGGGGAAGAGGCAGAAGAAGCGTCCGGTTATTTAAATTTGAAGATAAATTATATAAGTAACTCTTGCACTGTCTTTCCACCAAGCTCATTCCCTACCCCCATGCTGGAGCACACAGGAGTCTTTCCACTATCCCGAGATTTTGGCTTAAACTAGGGGTAGGGCCGCCCTGGGTCAAATGAAATCCCACCCTCCGCCCCACTTCCACCCGCCAGCCTTCTAATTATTAACCCTGCCTCGGTCCAGTACTCACACCCCTCTCCTGGGATGGGGTGGGTGACTATTATGAAGAGGGCTCCTAAGCATCCTGCAGCCCAAGATTTGCAAGTTCAAAGCCATCACCCAAGATCAGCTCACAAGACTCAAGATGTGGGGAATCACCGTCCTTCTTTGGTTACCTTTCCCCAGACAGTATTCCCGTCTCCAAACGTGGCAGAGGCTGGTGTGTATGTGCCTGTGTGAGTGCGTGTGTCTCTCACTGTGTGTGTATGGGGAGTGTATTAATGGGCGATCTTATGCATGAAAACTGGAGGACTTAACTTAAAAGAAACTGGTCAATTGTAAAACAAACAGGAATAAACAGCCCTTTAGATGTAATTTGTGGTTTATCTGGAGATGGAGGTGGCGCTGAAAGATCCCCCCACCTCCCAATATTTTTTCCTTGGCTGCGCCTCCACTTCCAGCCTTTGGAGCGGCGGAGAAGCGGCTCCGGAGTGATTAATCCGGGGATAATTCACCCCCCACCCCCCGGCGCGAACCCCGCGAAGCGGGATTGGAGCGAGTCATTTCCGAGAGCGCAGCGCGCCTCTCCCCGGCCGGGCGGACACTTGGTTCATTCCAGCCGCAGAAGCTCAGGGCTCCCGCGTACCGGGATTTTTTTCCGAGCAGAAAAAAGCTCCCGAGCTCTCCTGACCTCCTTTCTCCTCAGCGGCGAGCGGAGCCTCTCCCTCGGCGCTGCCGGCCGCGCCATGCCGCGCTCGCGGGGACGGGAGCTGGGGCGCTGCGGCTGCCCCGCGGGGAGGGCTGGCGGCGAAGCCGGGATTTCGGCGCTCGTGCCGGGCGCGGAGTGCCGCTGGGGCCGCCCGCCGCCGCCAACGTCGCCGCCGCTGCTGCTCCTGCTGGGCTGGGGGCTGCTCAGCTCCTCGGCAGCCGCGGGTAAGTGCGTCCGCGCCGGGAAGCCGGCGGCTGCCGTGCGCCCCACCCGAGCCGGGAGCCCACCCGGCCTGGACCCTGTCTCGCTCCCTCCCCCGCCCCCACCCGCCTCACCCCCCACTGCCCACCCTCCTCGGCGCCTTCGCCTCTGCCCCCATCCTCCACCCCACCCTCAACCACCTCCTCACCTCCACCCTCGCCCTTATTGCTCTGCCCAACCCCAACCGCAACTTGGCTGGATTCGGCCGGTGTGAGGGCCTGGGAGCAGGCATCCCTGCCCGCGGCTGCGGGGCACCCGAACCGTGCCTTCAGTTTCTCCATCCTCCCAAGGTGCCAGGCTTTTCCCCGATAAACTTTCCCGGAGCCCTCCTCCCCCCGGCTCCCGATTCTGCTTGGCCCGCCCGTCCGGGGGGCTGAGAGGGACGGCGCGCCCCCTCCGCGTTTCCGCGTCTGCAGGGTCTGTCCTTCCCTGCCCCCGCCCATTTTCTCCGACTGAAGCCCTTGCCCCGGTCGGAGCCACCCGGAGACTGCGGCCGCCACCCCCCTTCCCCAAATGCCTTCTCCCTCAGCACTCGGTGCCGGGGGTGGGTGCAGGTGGGCGTGCGTCCAGGTTGGGGGTCCCGCGCGTTTTTTTTAGGGGAGCTCAGATGGAGGTTGGAGGGTGTTGAACCGAGGGAGACAGTGGCAGGGGGGTGGGAAAGGTGATGTGTGTGTGTGTGTGTGTGATTGTACCCGGGGGCGGGGGAGGGAGTGTCGCTGCCAGGCTCCGCGCCGACACGTTCCCCTCGGTTCTCACTCCGCGCCAAAGTGCCCTTTCCCGCGCCCTGCTGCAGCCGAGCGCCCCGGCTGCGGCAGCAGCCGCGGGGGCGGCGGGACCCACTCTGGATAACCAAGTTCGGGAGGTGGGTAGACCTGGCCAGTGCTGAGAGTTCCGGAACTTCGCGATGTCTGGCTGCATTTTGTAGCTCACAGAGGAAGCATGCGAACCTTGGAGTGAACCCAGTTCTCCTATGGAGGCCACTGGTCTCAACGGGTCCCCTCCCACTTTACCCATGGAACCCCCTGAAGCTCAACTCTAGCCGCAGCCTAGAAAGTTCTGTGTGGGGACAGGTCCAAACCTGGATGACTGAAGCCACATTTTCCTTAGTCCACAGGCTGAAAACCGCTGGAGAGGAAACCCCCAAACACCTGCTGCCCAGAGCACTCTGTGTTTGCTTGTTGATTGTTTTTAAACCACTGATCGAACCTCTGAAGGTTGGCCTCAGCCACCCAAGAGCCCCAGTGACCCTTTTGGAAAGCGCGCCCCTCCCCTGGCAGGCCAATACATGCCCAGCTCCCTGACCTACTGTTGGCTCCAGCAGCTTGTGAAACAGTCCCCCCCACATTGTGTTGCCTATTTCTTAGTCGCAGGATGTTGGGGTCCTGAGTCAGGAACCTCCAAGGCAGTCCTGGCTCTTTCATCCCTACTTGACCGGACTTTCTCTGATTTTCCTAAGAGTCATAGCCGCAGACACCCAGACAGGGGCGCCCGCGGTGCGCGCGCCTGGCACTTCTGGCCTCTCGCACACCCACACCCACCAACAGGAGGCTGCTCACACGGTTGCTGCTGGTCACCCAGTCTTGCTTTTTGGGCTATAGGGTGGCTGCTGTTACCGACCATCAGGTCTCGAACGTTTGTCCAGACGAACCCCGTCTCCCGGCTTAACCAGCTAGAGAATCACTGTAGGTCTGAAAGGATTATTATTCTGGCTGAATTTGCCCCTGCCCCCTGGGGAGAGAAAAAGGCCGACTCATGGAGCTTGCACTGTGCTCCGCGGTGCTGGAATCCTGCCTTACAGAGATCCGTATGCTGACAGCTTTGATCTATGGAGAAGTTGGGGCGTGTGCGTGTGTGCAAGTGTGTGTGTTGATTGAGGAAGGGTAGCTGCTGTCTGGCAGGCCCTGCTCTGGCTTCCACTTACATGTGCTGTCTCCTTTTGCAGGCAGCAGAGATTTAGAAATGGACTTGGGGACAGGAGAGGGGCTTCTTCACACTGCCCTAATGCTCAGGACTGAGCCAGCTCCCTTCTTTGGCTTGCTTATCACTGGCTAGAAAGACTATGAGGATTTGGTAGTGGGAACCTTGCGCACTTTTGCCTGCTTCCTCAACCCTTTCCATCCCAATGTGCCTCATACTCCACCTCCTTGAAGACCTACTCTCCTGTCGGTCCATCAGTCTTGCTCACCTGGTAACAGCTTTCCCCTTGGGTATGATATCTAGGTGCATCTTTACCATAAAACATGTCAAGATGGTGTCTTAGTCCTGCTGAACTCTTTAAGCCACTATCCCATTCCTCTTTGCCTATTACTATCAGTCTATTCAAAAGAGTTGTCACTTACTTTCTCAGCTACCTATTGCTCTCTGGGTTACTCCAGCTTTTGCCCCCCAGGAATCTTCAGGAATGTTCTAGAAGAGATCACTGATGCCATCATCATTGCCAAGACCATTGTATTTTCTCTGTCTTTATCATCTTCTTCTCTGTGGCTTTCTCTTAATCAGGCTCCTGGGACTCTGATTTTTTCCCTATCTCTTGAGTGTTCCTTCTTAGTCTCTTATTAAGCCTTATTCTCCTTCCTGAAGTACAGAGTCCTGCAGCATTCAATTCTATGTCCTTTTTAAAACATATTCCCTTTCACCACTCCTTAGTGACCTTATCCATGCCTCTCCCTTCCAGTACACATTCTGAAACTCCCAGACAGATCTGTCTTGCCAAGGCATTTCCTGATAGATATCTACAATGTCCTAGCCCACTGATACTCTAGGTTCAGACTACCCATGTATCCTGCTGATTCCCACACGTTCCCTTGATATTTCCTTTCCAAAGCAAGCTCATTCTCCCTTAAGCTCATTCCTCAGTTACCCAGCCCAGAACCTTAAGAAAATCCTCAGGTACTTCTTCATCAGGTGGCCGTCATCTTCTTTCTGTTTTATGCCCTCAGTTACTGACAGGAACAGCTACTTTTCTCTGGATTAAGGAGCTCTCAGAATTAAAAAGACTCCCCAACCCCTTAATAAGTAATTGCAAATAGAAGCAATATTAAGTTATAAGGAATTCTGACAAAGTCCTGGATTATTTTCCCCAACACTACCAGGCCACCTTAAGTAAAACCAAACATCAAATTAATTTTTTAAACATTTCTTCTGCTTTTCTGGTTACTTGAGGGCTTGTTTTTAGCCTGTCTCTTGCAGACTGGAGCACCAACTGTACACAGTGTTCTGTGGTAGTGCAGATTGAATGGTATTAAAAGTATTTATTGGCTTTACCTATTAAACTGTGCAGTTCCTGAAGACAGGGACAATGGTTTATTTCCCCAGAGTCCACCTCAGAACCTGCCCTAGAATGTATGTTTGATGAGTAGATGTTACATCAGCAGATGGTGTTGATATTTTTTTTTTTTTGAACAGTTTTTCAGGGACTGATAAGGCTAATTTAGGAGTGTTAGGAGGCAAGGAACCAGCTGGTTTGCAGAGGTAACTCAGTGACAAAGACACCTAATTTCCAGTTGCCTTCTGTCCACAACTAAACATCACAGATTAGTGGAACGGCTTCCTAGATTTTAGAGATGTAGAATAGATCTTAGCAGCCCATCCCCCAATAGCAGAATGCCAAGGAAAAGCATCTAACAGCTCAGTCACCAACATATATATTTCTGTTTACAGTCGAACTGTGAGCTCATGGTTTAAAAAGATAAGCTGGTCATATCTATGACTGGTGACTGTGTGACTTTGTTGAGGGGGAAGCTAGAATCATGGGCAGGGGGCCTGGAGCACCAGATTGCAGGGTCTTAGATGCTTCAAGGTTTCAGTTTGTCCGGAAGAGTCCAGCAGGTGGCTTCAGCAGCATCACCTGTCCTAGCCTGTCTGTTTTATGGTCAATGTCAACAAGATTCAGGGAGTTTGCTAGTTGAGCCACACATTCCATGTTGGAGATCTAGCTGATCTTCAGATCTCTCTAAGGTTTGAGATCTCTACCTCAAAGAAACAAAGAATGTATTTGCTGCAGGTAGGATTCCAGTGGCAGGCCCAGCACCGTACCTGCCTTGTGGAATGTGCCTGTTGATGGGAGGTGGGCTGAACAGTGACCCTGAGGACAAAGGACTCAGTGAGGAAGTCTGGCTGCCGTCATCATGTCCTCCCCACGTACCATGCTCAGAAAACTGCTCTAGTGATATGTGGGCATCTGATACCTCACCCAGGGTAGTGACAGTGGTAGAGAATACTCACTGAGTGCTCACTAACACTTGCCAGAGTTAACTTGATCCTCACAACAACATAGTTGGGGTGGCAGTATCACTGGCCCCACTTGATACACAGGAAATGGATTTAGAGAGGGCACATCCACATAAGTGGATTATCATAAAAAGTAAGCAGCTAAGGCACAGAGGCTAAGGTATAGTTTACATCCAGGTCTGCCTGACTTCATATCCCTTACTGGTAACCACACTGCTGGGTGACTTCCAGGGCACTCAGTGGGTACCTCCCTTTTAGAATCCTGTTAGGCTGTGCTGCTTTTGTACTTGAGGCCTGGCTTCTAAACTTCAAATCCTTAAGCTGCCATCATCCATCCAAACGAACACAAGTTCCTTAGGGGTCATGGCAAAGTCATCCCTGGTCTCCAGCCTCAAATGCCCATCTAAGTGGAACTCTGGTGCAGGCTCTCAGAACTTCACATACTACATATTGTAGCATTTTCACCTTCTTCCTCAGGACTTCTTGAATGTCAGGCAGTTTTGTTCTGGCCCAAATTGAAATTTCTAGCAATAGAAAGTCTCCATCAACCTTTGCTCCCACATGCATGGATCTCAAAATGCTGGAAGCTCCCCTCCAGCTCTAAGCGCTTACTCTTCA